ATTTATTCATTACTACTTTATTATGATTGGTCAATAAAAGTTAGATATAAGGGTCATTTGGCATAAATTTTTCATATAAGGGTGTTTTGGTCATTTCCACCACAACATAATGATTAGCACTCATTTAATGCCATTTGAATTCTTTTAAACACTTGGTAATTAAGAAATCCCATTAGATAAATTACTAATTTACCCTTGGTGCACTTTTATGGATACTTAATTCATATGGATTTGTATGAAAAGACCATTATACCTTTGGTTACCGTTTACGCCATTTAACCATATCAATCAACTTTATGACCATTGTACCCTCATTTCTCTTCAATGACATCACCCCTTACACTTTATAATGGCCACATCTCGAAATGCATGCAAATTGACCATTTTACCCTTCCATTCAAAGGGCATCGGAATAATAACGCAGGGTTTACAATCATCCCTTCTTAAAAGAATTTTTTCCTCGAAATTCAATTGAAGAGGTCTAGATATCTTTTCTTCATATCTTGCTCTACCTCCCATGTCGCTTCTTCTACATTATGATTCCTCCACAGTATTTTAACAAGCGATACTTCCTTATTTCGGAGCTCTTTCATTCTTCTATCTAGAACATGAATTGGACGTTCTTCATAAATTAGTTCATCTTTTACTCCACTTCATTTGCTTGTAATATATGCGAAGGATCACTAACACACTTTCGCAACAGGGAAACATGGAAAACATTATGGATCCGGTCCATACTAGCTGGTAAGGCAAGTCTGTAAGCTACTTTGCCCACTTTCTCTAATACCTCATATGGACCGATATATCTAGGGGCAAGCTTCCCTTTTCTTCCAAACCTCATTACCCTCTTATAAGGAGAGATTTTCACAAACACTTTGTCTCCTACTTAGAACTCTATATCCTTTCTTTTCAGGTTTGCATAGCTCTTCTATCTATCTTGGGCCTACTTCATTCTCTCTCGGACTAACTTTACATCTTCTATCATTTTTTGTGCCATTTCTAGACCAAGAGCTTGAGCTAATGCAATCTTTTCTCCTATTTCGTCCCAATGTAACGGAGATATACATTTCCTTCCATACAAGGCTTCATACGGTGCCATTTTAATGGTTGCTTGATAACTATTGTTATAAGCGAATTCAACTAGAGGGAGAATGTCACACCAATTCAACTTGTGATCCATACAACAAGCCCATAACATATCCTCCAATATTTGATTCGTTCTTTCTGTCTGTCCATCCGTTTGAGGATGATAGGCTGTGCTGAAATTAAGCCTAATACCCAATGCCTTCTGCATGCTACTTCAGAATACTGACATAAATTTCACATCCTTGTCTGAGACAATACTACTAGGTACTCCATGTAATCTTACTATTTCTTTGACATATAATCGGCCTAGCTGATTAGAGGAGATCTTGTCTGTAACTGGAATGAAATGAGCAGCTTTAGTCAATCTCTCTACAATCATCCAAATCGCATTATAGCCCCTTTACACTCTAGGAAGACCTAAAATGAAATCCATAGAAATATCTTCCCATTTCCATGAAGGAATACTAAGGGGCTGCAATAGTCCTAAAGGGCGCTGATGTTCTGCTTTAACTTGTTGGCACACCAAGCATCTGCTAACATACTTAGTTACATCTTTCTTTAACCCGAGCCACTAATAGCTCTTCCTCAAATCCTGATACATCTTTACACTCCCTAGATGAATAGTGTAAAGAGTATTATGTGTGTATCGCCCACATCAAGGTGCGTAGCTTTATTTATGCCCTAATACCTTTAGTTGAATTTTATTAAAGTTATCTTGAACAAGTATGAAGAAAATTCCGTAAACCTTCATTAGGAGTAAAATGGTCTTTTCACTCATAATTAGTTGAAAAAGTGGGGAGTGAAAAGAAATAGAATAACATGGAGAAGATAATAAAAATGAGGGCATTCTTGTAATTGAATAAGGGACATAGATGGAATTTTTAGAAAGTGAAAGGGTAAAATGGGAAAATACACACACACACACACACACACACACACACACACACACATAATATTTTATGATATTAAGAGTTGAAGAAGAGAAACCCTAGCCACTCTACCCTCCATTCAAGCCATTCTCTACCCAAATTCTCTATAATTTCTTTATTGAATTTCCAAGGAAATTCATAGGATTTTGGCTAACTTTTGATAGATTTTCAATCCTAAGCATCCAAAGGTAAGATTCTTGCACCAAGAAGTGAGATTAAATTTTAAAGTTTTGAATTCTTATGGTTATATATGCTTAGGGTTTGAGAAGGAGGGAATTCTACCAAAGAGAGAGTATAGAGTTGGAGTTGCTCAAATTCAAGGTAAGTAAACCTAATTCGAACCTTAATTTGAGCAAGACTTTGCTTAATGAATTTTTTTGCATGTTTGTATGTGATGGTATGAGAGAATTATGGGCTGTTTTTGATGTTTATTGATGTATAAATTCTAGCCATGAGAAGTAGCGTATGGTTATGTGATGATTTGGTGAAGTTGTGGAAGATTTTGTGTTGAGATTTTTGGAGTGTAGAGAAGTGATAAATTCAGCCAGGTTTGATACTCAATTTAGTGAGTTTTTGGCTCACAATTTGGTTGAATTAGAGAGTTGTGGAAGTGTAGCCAACATGGTAGTAGCATGTGCATATGAATTGTTTGATGAAAATCCTAGGAGAAAACATGTTACCATGGTTGCCCTATCAAATCCGTGCCCTTATGAGTGATTTTTGAGCATCTTACCCATTGAACTGGTTGATGCCTAAACATAGAAGTTGTAGCCCTTTCTCTAAGCTTTAAAATGAGACCAAGATCATAGCAATCTGATGTGTATAGCTCGAGATATGCCTTTTTGAATATGACCTGCGCAGAATGACTACCTCAAAAGTACCTCCAATTTATTGGTTATTTTTAGTCTAATAATCTATGATTAATTTCAAGTATGGGAATGTTGTTGGTAGAGAATACTAGTTCCATAATGATATCTTTATATGCCATAATACACTTCTCGCATTCTCACATTTGCATTTAGAAAGAATAGCAAAGAATGAGCACATTTCCATGCACATACACATATGAGAACATTAAAGAACAAAGAGAAAGAGAGTTTGGATAAATTGTAGAGAATTTCTTTTGTGCATGTATATGCTTATATATGAAGAATTGTTGATGGAATGGATATTGAATGATGGTTAGAATTTATCCATGAGAAGTAGTGTTTGTGTACTTGATGTTTAATGAGAGTTTGGATGAATTATGGAAGAATTGGAGTAGAATTTATGGAGTGTGAATTATGGACAGGTTTGACGTTAATCTTGGTGTGTTTTATTCCAAATTTTGGTGGCTTAGAAGAGAGGTAGAAATGTAGCTAATTTAGAGTTAATGTGAGCATATAAATTGTTTTATGAAATGTCAAAGAGAAGTGAATACATGATTATGATTATTTGATATCTTGAGATGAGTTGGTAGATGGTAGAGAATGACATGTTCACATTTCATATTGCATTATTGCATCCAAACATGTGAATTTAGGAAGAATAATAAGCATGAGCCCTTATACATGCATACATACTCATAAGAGCATTAAAGAGCAATAATGAACATTAAAGTTAAAGAACAAATAGAAAGAAATGAGAATTATTAAAGAAAAGAAATTGAATACTAATTTCCATGAGAAAGATAAAAGAAAAGAAGGTTGTTGCGATGGGGAACCCATGAGTGACAAGAAGAAGAATATTCCCACATGTACGCTGCCTTTTGTGAGCAGTCTAAGAAGAAGAAGAATTTGTACAGTCTGTAAGAGTACATGTGGATGAGGACAATACCCAAAAGAATATTCCTACATGCATGCCGCCTTTAGTGAGCGGCCTAAAAAGAAGAAGAATTTGTACAATCCGTAAGAGTGCATGTAGATAAAGACTGTACTCACTCAGATGGCCAGGGTTCCGAATCTATGCCTCAACCGATCCGATCGGCAAAGAATAAGAAAGAAAATAAAAGAAAAGAATAAGAAAGAAAAGAATAAGAAAGAAGAGAATAGAAAGAAGAGAATAAGAAAGAAAATAATAAGAAAGAAGAGAATAAGAAAGAAAAGAAGAGAAAAGAAAGAAAAGAAAGAATAAAAAGAATAGAAAAGAAAGAAACATTAGAAAGAAAGAAACAACAGAAAAAGAAAGAAAGAAAGACTAGAAAAGAAAGAAAAAAAGAAATACAGAGAAAAGAAACAGAAAACAGAATAGAAAAACAGAAAAGGAAATGCACATTCTATGAATTTTTGCATTTGCATCATACCTATGCATGATACCATGCCTATTATCATGGGTAGTGAGAAATTAGAAATAGAGAAAGAACAGAGAAAGAACAGAGAAAGAACAGAGAATAATAGAGAGGTGTGATGTAAGGATAGAAATTCAGAATTTAAGCAATGGAGAGAGAAGAGTAGCATAGCTGATTTACTTACTGAGCATTTAGTGCTCACCCCGTTGTTTTCAATGTTTTTGCAGGTAATAAGTGAGATGCGGTCGCTTGGAACGTCATGCAGCAGAAGGGTTGGGCAACACTGTCGAGTTGATGTTTTGTGACTTTATTATATTTTATAAAGATTTGTATTTAAAGAAAAATTAGTTTGGGGCCCATTATTTTATACTCATCTACATGTATATTTCCTTATATATATTTTGTGAGTTTTACTGTTATTTTTCGAGTATCCTACCTAGAGAGAAAGTATTACAATGTGCTTCCTCTAAAATCTTCTTTCTCAATTCAATATCCTGAGGAACATACATTCTATCTCTAAATTTCAGAATTCCATTCACCCATTTGAATTCTGATTCTCTGCCATCTTTCAACTGCTGCTCAATTCCTTTGCTAAACCCATCATCCGCTTGTTTTTCTCTAATTTCATCCAACAACTTAGACCGAACTTCAATTTTAGACAATTTCCCAATCTCCAACTCTTTCATTATCTCTTGTTGTCGATGCTTCTGAAAAGTTAGCTAAGCTAAGGAGACTTTCCTGCTAAGGGCATCTGCAACTACATTAGCTTTCCCTGGCTGATACATAATATCACATTCATAATCCTTCACCAACTCAAGCCATCTTCTCTGCCTCAAATTCAATTCTTTTTGGGTGAAAAAGTATTTTAGACTTTTATGATCTATGTAAATATTACATTTCACCCCAAAGAGATAATGTCTCCAAATCTTTAAAGTAAAAACTACAGCTGCTAATTCGAGGTCATGAGTGGGATACCTCTTTTCATAGTCTTTCAGCTGACGAGAGGCATAAGCAATCACCCTACCTTTTTGCATCAATACTACCCCCAAACCATTATGAGAAGCATCTGTATGAATATCATAATCTACTCCATCCTCTGGAAGAGTTAAAACAAGAGCAGTAGTTAATCTTCTTTTTAATTCTTGGAAACTCTTCTCACAAGTTTCAGTCCATCTGAATTGGGCTTCTTTTTTTGCTAGAGCTGTGAGTGGAGAAGCTAATTTAGCAAAGCCTTCCACAAATTTCCTGTAATACCTTGCTAACCCATGAAAACTTCTAACTTCTTTTACAATCTTTGGTCTTGGCCATTCAATCACTACTTCAATCTTTCTAAGGTCTACTGAAATACCCTTTTGTGAAACAACATGTCCCAAGAATGCTACTTGATCCAACCAAAACTCACATTTGGAGAATTTAGCATATAACTTTTTCTCCCTTAGTATTTGTAACACAAATCTCAAATGCTCTTCATGATCTTCCTTTGTTTTGGAATAGACCAGGATGTCATCTATAAAAATTACCAGAAATTTATCTAGACAATTATGGAAAATCCTATTCATCAAATCCATGAACACCGCTGGTGCATTAGTCAATCCAAATGGCATCACTATAAATTCATAATGCTCGTACCTTGTTCAAAATGCGGTCTTGGGAATATCCTTGTCAACGACCCTCACTTGATGATAGCCTGACCAAAGATCAATCTTGGAAAACACCGAAGCTCCCTTTAACTGATCAATCAAGTCATCAATTCTTGGCAATGGATACTTGTTTTCACCGTCATCTTATTGAGCTCCCTGCAATCGATACGCATTCTCATCGAACCATTTTTTTTCTTGACAAATAAAATAGGAGCTCCTTATGGAGAATGACTAGGTCAAATGAAACCTTTATCCAACAACTCCTGAAGCTGTTTCTTTAACTCTTGTAACTTTGCTGGAGCCATTCTATATGGAGCCTTAGATATTGGTACCGTACCAAGGGATAAATCTATACGAAACTCCACTTCACTTTCTGAAGGGAGTCTTGGCAAATCTTCTGGAAATACATCTTCGAATTCTCGTACTATGGGTACATCCCGAACACTAAAGTCTGGAAACTTTTCTTTATTCACCACATTAGCTATGTACCCTGTACAACCCTTCCTTATCATCCTCATTACTTTCACTGCACTTATCATCAGGCTGTGTAGATGACCTTCCCCAAAGGTGAATTTGTCTCCAGCATCTAAATTAAACCTGGCTTTCTTCTTCCGACAATCTATCAATACTCCAAATTTGCTCAGGAAGTCTATTCCCAAAATCATATAAAAATCAGGCATATAAAAAATAATTAAATCAACATTCAACTCAGGCCCATCAATCACTATAGTTTCCTCCATTAATAACTTATCAGCAACATAATTCTCCCCATTAGGCATCTCAATTTTAACAGCATGTTCCACTTTACTAGGCTCTAAACCTAATCTTTTTATAATACCATATGAGATAAAAGAATGGGTAGCCCCAGAATCAATCAGTACATATAAAGAAGTAGAGTGGAACTGTAACTGACTAGTAACTGCAGATGGATTGGCTTTGGCTTCTTTCTCAGCCACTGAGTAAATTCTGGCAGTCGAACCTCTAACAGTTTGAAGGGAAATAGCCTGAGTAACTTTACAGTCCTTTGCCATGTGTCCCGGTTGTTTACATTTGAAACACACATTGGTCCTTAATAGACAATCCCCGTTATGCTGCCTCCCACATTTTTGACAATAGGGAAGATTGTTCTTTCTCTGTTATTGCTGTGGAGTCCTTTTATTCTTGCCACCCTTCTTTTGAAATCTTTTCTAAAACTTTCTTTTACTTTTGTCCTCCGAGGCCTGAGTGGAATTGCCTACTTCAACTTTCTGAATTGTTGTTTGGCCCGAACTAGAACTACCAATCACCAACTTGGGGTTCTCCATCTGCCTCTCCTTATTCACATAAATCTCTACTCTCAATGCCCGTTCCAGAGCCTCACTGTAAGTCTAGGGAGGTTAATTGCCCGCTATAATAATCTGGGCAACTTTTGGGTGCAATCCATTAACAAATCTCTCTAACCAGCACTGTTGAGTACTCACCATAGTAGTAGCAAAATGGGCTAGGGAGTTGAACATTGTAGCATACTCTCTAACAATTATATTACCCTGCTTCAATTTCGTCAACTCTTGAGTCTTCACGGATAACATGTCCGTCGACTGGTATTCTGCTTCAAATAGACTTTTGAATTCATTCCAAGAAAGGGCACTCGTCACATAGGTATGCTCCATTAGCTTCCACCATACCCGGGCATCTCCTCTCAATAAATAGGAAGCATAGCGGACTTTTTCCTAGTCACTCATGGGAAACAAGGCCATTGCCCGTTTGACAGTCTCAAACCACTCCTCTGTCACATTCGGATCATTTGAACCACTGAACTCCAGAGGTTAGTGCTTTTGAGAAAGATTATAGATTGGTTCCACTTGACCAGAAGGTGTAGCACTCATCGACATAATTGGTCCGGTTACTGGAGGTGGAACTGGTATTTGGAGTTGAGGCTGAACTACTGGAACTGAGGGATTTGCGTTCAATTGGTTGCTTATACTTTCTAGGGTAACCCTCCTAAAGGCCTCAGTAATGGCTACCTGAATCATCCTATTGATTGCAGCCTCATCCAAAATAGAAGTATTTTGGGTAGACGTAGCTGGTCCATTATTAGGGGGCGCATTGGTAGTCGGTGCTATTGGCTCACTAGTGCCTTCTTCATTGGCATTCTCCTCACCCCTCCTATTAACCTTTCGTGAATGCCTCGTAGCCATACCCTTTACTTACGCAAATTTCAATCAATGTTAGCTAATTCTATTCACTAAGCAAGTAAAGAAAATACTTACAGCAATCGGCTGGAGATAGTATCTTGGGGACACATGAGGAATGACACTTCCATTACTTACAAACACCATTACCAACATCAATTATATATAAAATAACTATAACAATTCAATCAAAACATCATTTCTAACACACAAAATCGTGCTCTGATACCAACTGTAAAACCCCTCCCTAGCTGGGTATTTTCTAAGTATCCCTTGGCCATTGAGAGCCTAGAAAACGCATGCCTAGGAAAGAAGTTTATTTTAAAATCCTATTCAAAGAATAAACCTGTAGTTTAAAAACATTTTTTTATTTATTTCTAAACTATAATAAGTTCATTGTACAAGCCAAATAATATAGTTTCATTTCTTGGAGTAAATTATGAAATCCATAGTAATAATCACTAGAACATACACACTTTTACAAATTTTAGTAGCAATTTGATTTCCTTTATTAACACAAACATATATACTCCATTATACAACATGGACATATTTACTACATTATGAGATATGAACATGATTACTATAGTAAATACTGGCAAAACCATTCAATAGTCATCATTAAAACATCCCTTCATGCTCATAGCGGCCCTCGGAATCCTCTCCCAGCTTCATGCCTTAATCCTTACCTGCAAAACATTTTAAAACATCTTGTGGGGTGAGCGCTAATCGCTTAGTAAGAGAATATGGCCATTTATAAACTATTTAGGTTCATTATACAAGCATATTACTCATGACCTTACCTATCTACAATGCATGACTTTCATTCACTGACATTAACAAATTCATAAAACATGTCATACACTTTGAACTTTACTCATAAACATAAGTCATGACATAACCATACATAATATAACATAGAACATATATGACTTATGCAATATTCATAAACATGGCATACTTATTTCTTTTGTCTTTATACTTGATGTTTTCATTAGTCTTTATTATCTGATCGAATTCATTTGAACCATTACCTTGTTCTTGGTCGTCACCTCAAAGGACTCATGGTTCCCACAAAGATTCCATTCCTCTGATCTAGGTTTATACCTCAAGAGACTCATGGAATTCATTCTTTAACATTTCATAAATTCGTTCATAATTCATTCATAAGTCAACTAAATAAGCTATATGCATTACCATTATGAATGGAAACATATAGGATAACATCTCCCATGCTCAATCATACTATTCACTCATTTAACATGTAACCTTGGCCAATTACACAACTCATCAATCAATTTAGCAAAACTCCATGACATAAATATTCTCCTATTAAATTCATTCAATTTCTCATACAACACAAGGAATTTCAATTGTAAGACTATTCAGTGGGCTAATAGAATTTATTAAAAAAAAAAGATGGGAATTTCTATTAAGGAGGTGGATGCCATACAGTTTGTCACTTTTAAAGCAACGTTTTCCTCATCTTCCAGTTCGAATTAATTTTTGGCTAAAACATAAAAGCTTTAGGTATGTTTCTCAAATTTTTAATACTTCAAGAATCAGCTCAATCAGACTTTTATAACTTCAGTTATGACCAATTTAGTGAAGCATGTACAGTATAAGTCTTAAATAGCCAAATCTGAATTCTATGCATTTTTAACCATGTCACCTTCATTTGAACATTCATAGTATTTTTCATATCATTCTAAGCATAAAAGGCCACAAAAGACCTCCCTTTTTATAGAACTAAAAAGTGCCAAAACATCGTCCAACTACAAATCTCTTAATTGCCATAATCATCCTCCATATGCACACATACACCAATCAACACACCCATTTACACCATCCATAACCAAAACATAGCATCGCACTCAAATTAACATAAATAAATGTAAGTTTCATCAACCCTAGGTGTTATCAATTGTAGCCATAAGGGAGATTTTTTTTTTCCTCACCTTAGTATTCAAAGCACAAAGACACTCCTCCTTAGCTCTAAAGGTTCACCCTTTCTACCTTACACACATAACCACTTATGAATTTCTCTTTTAACTAAAAAACACAACAAACTCGGGTTTTAAAACTCATCTTAAACCCTAAAATTGAAGTTCTTAAAGTGTGGATGGTGATCTCCTTCCAAATTCAACTTGAAATCCTATGAAAATTTGAGAAGAAAATGCTTGGATGAGTGGCTTTTATGGTGGATTTGAGAGATGAAGAAGAAGATGATGCATTTGGGGTGTACAAGGCTAACTCCTCTCTCTTAAAACCTTATAGATATTTATTTCATTACTACTCTATTATGATTGGTCAATAAAAGTTAGATATAAGGGTCATTTGGCATAAATTTTTCATATAAGGGTGTTTTGGTCATTTCCACCACAACATAATGATCAACACTCATTTAATGCCATTTTACTTCTTTTAAACACTTGGTAATTAAGCAATCCCATTAGGTATATGACTAGGGTTTACCTAATGGGATATATAACCCTTTTGAACTCTTGGAAGGCCTGTAATGAAATCCATTGATATATTTTCCCTTTTCCATTCAGGAATGTTGAGTTGCTGAAGCTTTCCTGATGGTCTTTGGTGTTCTGCTTTAACCTGTTGGCAAATTAGACATTTTGCTACATAGTCTCTGATATCTTTCTTCATACTTGGCCACCAATAACTCTTCTTTAAATCTTGATGCATTTTGGTTCCTCTAGGATGTGTATTATATGTTCTGTCATGAGCCTCCGCAAGAATCTTCTTTCTCAGCTCAGCATCCTGGGCAATGCATACACGGCTCCTAAAATTGAGAACACCATCTAAAATCTGATACTCTGATATCTTGCCTTCCAACACTTGTTGACTAATTTTCTGACACCACTCGTCGACAGCTTGCTTTTCTTTAATTTCTTCTAGTAAAGTAGATTGAATTTCTAACCTGGCAATTCTTCCTAGTACTATCTCTATCTGTTCCTTGAGAAATTCTTCCAATAGTTCTTTCTACACTGTGAGCTACGACAAAAAGGCTTTTCTACTCAAGGCATTAGCTACCACATTGGCTTTTCCAGGTTGATACTTGATTTCACAATCATAATCTTTTACTAGCTCCAACCATCTCCTTTGTCTCATATTCAGCTCCTTTTGGGTGAAGAAATACTTCAAACTTTTATGATCGGTATATATATTAATCTTTGCCCCATACAAGTAACGCCTCCATATCTTTAATGAAAAAACTACACCTGCTAACTCTAAATCATGCGTAGGGTATCTTGTCTCATACTCTTTCAATTGTCGGGAAGCATAAGCTATTACCCTACCCAACTGCATCAACACAACACTAAGTCCTTAAAGTGAGGCATCTGTATAAATATCATAGTCTACACCCTCCTGTGGTAACACTAGAATAGGAGTTATGGTGAGTCTTCCTTTTAACTCATGGAAACTCTTTTCACACGCATCTGACCATATGAAAGGAATTCCCTGTTTGGTAAGAGCGGTAAGTGGCTTAGCCAACTGAGCAAATCCTGTTACAAACCGCTTGTAATAACCTGCAAGCCCCAAGAAACTTCTAACCTCTTTCACTGTCTTTGGCCTTTGCCACTCTAGGATTGCCTTTACCTTACTGGGATCTACTAACACACCTTCTTTTGAGACAGTGTGGCCCAAGAAGATAACTTGATCTAGCTAGAACTCACATTTAGAAAATTTGGCATACAACTTCTTATCTCTTAATCACTGCAGCACAAATCTCAAATGTTCTTCATGCTCCTCTTTCGTCTAAGAATAAACCAGGATGTCATCAATAAACACTATTATAAATCGATCAAGAAAGTCATGAAACACCTGGTTCATTAAATCCATAAAGG